GTGCCTCCGCTGCGTGTTCGGGCAGGGCTGCCCGAAGGGAGTCAGGCTCTGGAGGCAGAGGGAAGCAGAGCGGGACCCTCTGAGCTGGGGGGGTCAGTCAGCCACGGCAGGACCCGGGGGGAAAGGGCAAAGCATCTCCCCCAGCCCTGGCTGAGGGGTGAGTGCAGCACCACCGTCGAAGGGAAGGAAAGCAAGGAAGAATAACAGGAGACATGGGATGGTGGTGGCTGGAGCCCTGCCCTCCGTCCCCCGGCCTTTTGGGGGCTGGACTGGGTTGCTGCCCTTGCCACCTGGGTCCCCTGCTTTGAGCTGCTCCCAGCCAGGGACGGGGCTGCCACCGGCCATGGGGCAGGGATGGCGATGGGGAGGCTGGTGTTTGCCCAGTGCCTGAGAACACGCTGTTTCCACGCCATGAGGTCACCGATGTCTCGACGTGTGTGTGTGTGTCTGGGCGGGTGGGAGGGTCATTTTGGGGGTCTCATGGTTGCTCAATGCAGTGTCCAGCTTCCAGTGCTCCCCCCCTACCCCAAGTCCTACTTTGCGCTTTCGGCGATAGCAGCCCCCTCCCCAGCCCAGGAGGAGTCGAAGGGGGCAGAGGGGCCCATCCTACTGCTCCACGTGTCCCCCTCTGCTAGCGGAGGGGCAGCTCAGCCCGCTGGGGGGGACGGGGTGTAGCCATCGTGCCAAGTGGGAAACACTGTGACCTTTGTGCTCCCCCCCCTCTTCCTCGCTCGCTCGCGCGCTTTCTCCAATGCACATTCCCTGCGAAAGGCGCCCCTCCATGCCGGGACGTGTCTTTTGTAAAGCTGATTGTGACCAATAAACGTGATGTTTTCTGTTTGAGCCTCCTGTGGGGAATGAGGTCGCTGCGAGGACGGAGGCCACCGGCCAGCCCAAACCAGGGTGTCCTTCCCTGGGGTGCTCAGGGTGGCATCCCTGCAGAGGTACGCCTGCAGGTGTGTACCTGGCATTACGGAAATCTCATCGCAAGGGTCTGGGCGTTGCTGTCCCGGGAGGGCAAGGGGTGGTGTCACAGTTCGGGTACCTCTCATCCACCCTGCCATGTAGCAGCACGGGGTACAGGCTGCTGCAGGGGGGTTGGGGGAAGCACGCCTCCGCAGAGGAGGAACCCCATCCTGACAATGTGGAAGCAGAAACCAGTGGGAAATTGGGGCCTCTAGCTCAGACCATGATGGCGAGGGGCTCACGCAAGTTGTGCAGCTAATTAAGCCCTAGGAATGAGTTCCTGACCTGGCAAGGCTTGAGCTGGCTCGCCCTCGGCACCATTCGTGGGGCCGCCTATGCCAGAGCAAGCTGTGGCTAGGGATGCACCATGCTTCTGCCCCTCAGTGGGTCCCGTCCCGCCTAGGAAAGGCACCCCCTCACCAGTATTTGGGGAGAAGAGAGCATAAAGCCAGCAGACTCGGTTTTCCACAGGGCCCTTCCATCGCTGGTGTGCCGGCGTGGCCTCCTCGCCCTCCGCCAGCTCCCCCTTCTCCTGGAGGGTGTTTAACTCTGTAAAACAAAGCCTGGGGCCCTGACCTTCAGCCCCTCAGCACATCTCCTCCGTGTGGAGGGTTTTTGTTGAAGGGAAGCATAACTCTGAGTACGTACTTCAGCTGGAGCACACGCTCGAGGGCTTTGCTGAGCTGATGGCTCGCTCCCACTTCACTAACAGGAGGGGGTTCAATGGGTGACCCCGAACAACAGCACCGGCATTAGAAAGGACGGTACTTCTTAGGGGAGGGAATGTCCCCTACTGCTGCTGGGGTCACAGACTGAGGAGGAGGTGAAACGGGGGCCGGGAGGACTGGTCCGGAAGACCCTCCTATTCAAACTGCAGGAGCGCTGCGAGGGGGCTTTTGGGGCTGCCGGCCAAGGCAGGGACAGGCGGGAGGATGAATGAGGATGGGAACAGCCTGGCCACTGGTGCAGGCTATTGGCATAAAACCCATCTCCTCCGGAGCCCGGAAGCTCGGCCCACGCCGAAATCTGTGTAACCCCCTGCCTGAGAAAAGCAGGAACAAAGCGGGCACCAGGCTCCGGCAGGGAGTTGGGTGCTGCCCCCCGCCTCCCTGCCAGACGCTGCTGGCACGATCCCAGCCCTGTCCCCGGGTCGTGTGGCTCCGTCACTTCTGGGGTGGGAGACACGGGGTGACGGCGGCAAAGCTTCTGCAGGGCGACCTCCTCTCCCCCAGAGGGTTACAGCCAATTGGGCTGACGGAGGGCTGGGGGGATGCAGGAAAACTTGATGGAATCTATCCAGACATTTTAAAAGCTTACAGCAAATGCCTTCGTATAAGGCTCCTCAGGAAGCAAAGGCATTACGGAGAGATTAGAAACCGGTTAGGAGACAGAAAATCAAGAATAGGGATAAATATTTGATTTCCATCCTGCCCCAGCTCTCTGCGGGAAGCGGCGGCTGCTTCTCACCCGCCTGGGGAGGGGGAGAGAGAGACGGGAGCGTTTATTTTCAGTCAGGCGAGCCTCGCAGGGGCTGCAAACCAGCGGCAGGGCTCAAGAGGTGGAGGAGACAACATATCAATGGCGTTGCTGGCTGGAAGGAGTGACTACGGTGGCTCACCCGTAGCGCTTGCTTCTGGAGTAACCAGGAGCACTCCGGTGGCCTGCGTCTCTAAGGGCAGCCGGTTGGAAAACAACGCGCCGCGTGCTGAGGAGCTGAGGAACGACAGCCACCCTTTGGCTGTCTCGTCTTTGGAAGAGGATTTTTAACAACGGCGGTGCGGAGGGTTTGCGGTTGGGGTGGGTGCACTCAGCTGGGACGCTGTGTGGTGGCCAGGTACGCGAGATGGGGAAGGTGGGAGAAGAGGGAAAGGCATGGGGGAAATCCAAGCAGTGATCGGGC